ATAAATAGGTCATGCCCAGGCCTTTAGGGTTAATCAACCCCTTCTGTAGGCCTGTGAATTCTAAATATTCAAGATTTGTTGGTAAATTAAGCCAAGATTTTTGGAAAAAACGCACTTTATAACAGAGATTTTCATTATAAAATTGTGAACATAGATTACTTTCTTGTTAGTCCATGATGTGTTAGGGTTTATTGTCTACAAAAAGTCCTAAACAACCTTTCCAGTCCAAAAAAACTCTTGCCGAGTGACTAAAGTTGAGGGCACCCTAGAAGGTAAACAAGTCAATTTTTAATACCTGTTTTAACCAATATCTTTATTGATATAATTGTTTTTAGGGAATCATTGCTAGTACGGCATACAATAATCCTCTATCTATTAAGCACCAAAGTGTCAAATATAGGAGTATAATTGAGAAGACTGCAGATTTTTTATGTTTAGCATTGAAGCAACACAGGGGTACATTATCCTTAATGGCTTATTGTACATGTACAGTATGGGTTTTTCTTATTGTTGTAGGTCGTGAAGGTGACCTTACAAAGTTTACGTCCTTTTTCTTTGGTGTCTGGTGGGTAGTTGTCTCACTGAAAATCATACCATATTTATCTACTATTATACTAAATAGATCTTCAAACTGATTTGATATATTTGATGTTTGTTTGGTTGCTGTCTTATCTACATTTACCTTAATTCGTTTATCCATCAGAAATGTACTGAGATCTGTTCACTAAAACATACTGCTCTGACAGATTTTCACAAAAATAACTGCAAGATTAATATTTGTTAATAGAGATGTGGTGTGTTTGGTGTGGAAATGGAATGTTCTTGTGATTACCCCTTGTCAACAGATGCTACTCATATACTCTATACACCATATCACAGAGTTTAACAGCTCAACAACACATTAAACTGTAGAAGACATCAAGAAGTCTAACACTTGGAATTTATAGGATGTAAATTAACTAGATATTTGAATAAATGCCATAATAGCAGATTTTTAGTAGAAAAAATTAAATAAAATGCTTCGCTGGGGTGCAGCTTGATACGACCGCAGAGGTCGAACCCTGAACAGTTGGGGCAAGTATGGACACAACATTCAAGCTTGATACAGCTCTGAATTTGGATTGTTATTAAATATTTGACACAGCATAGGTTTCTGACACAGAAAGAATGTGGTCTAAGAACTTGAATTTTTTTAATTTACCTATTATGGTCCAATGTCCAAAATCAAAATACATGGTTAGATTCAGCATATCAAAGAACCCCATATATTCAATTTTTGTTAAAATCAAACAAAGTTTAATTTTGGACCCCAACTTGGACAAACTTGAAAACTGGGCCCATAATAAAAAATCTAAACACATGTTTAGATTCAGCATATCAAAGAACCCCAAGAATTCAATTTTTGTTAAAATCAAACTAAGTTTAATTTTGGACCCTTTGGACCTCAATGAAGACCAATTTAAAAAACGGGACCCAAATTAAAAATCTAAAAACACGGTTAGATTTGGCATATTAAAGAACCCCAATAATTCAATTTTTGATGAAATCAAACAAAGTTAAATTTTGGACCCTTTTGACCTCAATATGAACCAATTTGATAGCGGGGCCTACAAATAAAAAATCTAAATACATGGTTAGATTCAGCATATCAAAGAACCTCATATATTCAATTTTTGTTGAAATCAAACAAAGTTTAATTTTGGACCCCAATTTGGACCAACTTGAAAACTGGGCCCATAATCAAAAATCTAAATACATGTTTAGATTCAGCATATCAAAGAACCCCATATATTCAATTTTTGTTGAAATCAAACAAAGTTTAAATACTGGACCCTATCTTGGACCAACTTGAAAACTGGGCCCATAATCAAAAATCTAAACACATGTTTAGATTCAGCATATCAAAGAACCCCAAGAATTCAATTTTTGTTAAAATCAAAAAAAAAATTTGGACCCTTTGGACCTTAATGTAGACCAATTTAGAAAACAGGACCCAAAATTAAAAATCTAAATACACGGTTAGATTTGGAATATCAATTCAACTTTAGATGAAATCAAACAAAGTTTAATTTTGGACCCTTTTGACCTCAATATGAACCAATTTGATAACGGGGTCCACAAATAAAAAATCTTAATACATGGTTAGATTCAGCATATCAAAGAACCCCATATATTCAATTTTTGTAGAAATCAAACAAAGTTTAATTTTGGACCCCAATTTGGACCAACTTGAAAACTGGGCCAAAAATCAAAAATCTAAATACATGTTTAGATTCAGCATATCAAAGAACCTCATATATTCAATTTTTGCTAAAATCAAACAAAGTTTAATTTTGGACCCTTTGGACCTTAATGTAGACCAATTTGAAAACTGGACCCAAAATTAAAAATCGAAATACACTGTTAGATTCGGCATAACAAATTAATAAATGTGATCAAAGATTTTACAAATCTAATGCGCCATACTGTGCAATTAAAGATTACTTCTTGAAATTTTTCAATATTTGAAATTTGAAAAAAAAATAATATTTGAAGAATAATTCTTTTTAATTTCTGAAATCTGAAATGAGAAAAAATTGACCCCCCACAATTTCTTTTTATCCCCCCCCCCCCCTTTTTTCCCCAAAAAAATTCTTTCCCTCAAGATATGGTCATAATCTCAATTCAAATTTCCAATGGAGTTGGCAACCATAATTACCCATTTAAATTTACCATAGTGCTAACTTAATCTATTTTATAATAGAATTAATAAAAATATAGTGTCAAATCTTTCATATGGATTTTTTTTGTAAAAAAAAAAGACGCAACATTTGCAGATATTTTTACTGGTCTTCCTTTATAAATATGCATTTCTTTAAACATAATTTAAAAGCAGTGTAAGGGAAGTAACTAAAACGTTGTATTTGGATTACCTCCCTTACACTGTTTTAAATTATCTTAATTGTTCATTAACCATTACTTTATACATAATTTAAAAGCAGTGTAAGGGAGATAATTTCAATGATGTATTTGATTTATCTCCCTTACACTGCTTTAAATTATGTTTTGTACTAAAGTTTTTGTCCATTAACCAGGACAACCTTGTTTTTCCCCCTTTTTTACCCCTAATTCCTAAACAGTTTGAGCAGTAACCCCCCAAAGCAAATCCTAACCATCCCTTTGTGGTATGGAAACTTGATGTATAATTTCAGAGAGATCCATACACCGTTCCACAGTTATTGTCTGGAAACTAGAAAATGCTTATTTTTGGCCCCTTTTTGGCCCCTAATTCCTTAACTGTTGGTACCATAACCCCCAAAATCAATCCAATCCTTCCTTTTGTGGTATTTAACCTTATGGTCAAATTTCAAAAAGATCCATTCACTTAAACTAAAGTTAGAGTGCGAAAACCAATGTGTCTTCGGACGACGACGCCGGACGACGCCAACGTCATACCAATATACGACCACAAAATTTTTTTGCGGTCGTATAAAAATAAATGGGGAATGTGTCCATGGGGGACATAACTGAAGAACGGTAAAAGTGATGCTACCCAAATTTGTACTTGATCTGAGTTTTGTGGTAATAAGTATTATATAAGTTGCATAACATTTGGTTGAGGCTAACTTAAGTTAGAGAACGGAAACGAAAAATTCAGCAATTTTTCCTTTTGTAAATGAGCATAACCCTAGAACGGTTAAAGTGATGCCACCAAAGTTCAAACTTAATCTGTGTTTTGTGGTAATAAGCATTTTGTATAAGTTTCATAACATTTGGTTGAGGCAAACTTAAGTTAGAGAACCAACTTTGGGACGTACGTACAGACAAGGGTAAATCTTAATGCCCCCTGCGCTACGGCGGGGGCATAAAAGCTTTTATTAGTTGTTGAACAAAAAAGTCTCAAATGGCTGGATTGCAATATTTGTGAATAAATTTTATCAAATAATGACAAGATAAAATTGAGAATTGAAATGGGGAATGTGTCAAAGAGACAACCAAAGAACAGAAAACAGCAGAGTCTGGAAAAATTAAAAAAAAATCTTCAAAGAATTCTATAAATATGTGTAATCTTCTTGTGTTGTTTGTGGGATCTGGGTTGATAACTGTAAGAAGAGTTGATTACACGAAACTTGTACCGTCTTTCATAATTTTTGCTGAAAAGTTACTAAGTTCCAAAGTCTGACAATTCCAAAATAGTAGGTACACAACTTCAACTAATGTGCAATCTGCCTGTGAAGTTTCAGGGATCTGGGCTGAAAACTGTAGGAGGAATTGATAACTTTAAACATGTACCCTCTTCCAAAAATTTTGCTGAAAAATTACTAAGTTCCAAAGTTTGGAAAAATGAGAAAAAAATCCTCAAAGAATTCCATAACAGCAGGTGCACAACTTCAACATATGTGTAATCTGCCAGTGAAGTTTCAGGTATCTGGGTTCAAAAGTGAATGAGGAGTTAAAATTACCAAAATTAGGTACTTTTCCTTGCCTGCCCCTGACATCATCATATGTAAAGCCAGTTTTGGACTTTCTCCAACATGGCTAACAATGATGAAAAATTTCATAAATGTGTATAACATGTAAACAACATTATTGAGCAAATAAAAGCTACTTTGAATTTTTCCAATAATAAAGTACCCGCCCTTTGAAACAGTAAAAGAAAAATCGACAAAAATAGAATTTTATAGTTTGTTTAAATTTCAATCAATTTGAAAAAAAGGGTTCTCCATTTATTACAAGAAAACACCAAAATTGGAATTTTTCCAACAATCATGTACTATAACTCTTGACCAGAAAAAAAACAAGAATTGAATTTAACATATCTTTAGTAAACATTCTATTAAAATTTCAATGAATTTCAAAAAGAGGTTCTCTGTTTACCATCTGGAAATCTGAGTGTGACAGGCGGAGAGACAAGAGGATTCCTATATAACCCAACTCTGCCAAGCAGGGGTTAACAGAGTCAAATTAGTATACCAGTATCCTTTGGAGGGGAGATACAACTATCAAGTTAAACAAATACAAATGTTTTCGTAACATTTATTTTAAATTATACAATACGTAAGAACACTGACATATAAACTAGTCTTTCACCACCATTTATTTCCCTTCCATTTCTTGTTCTCAAAGTCATACTGTGCACTAATACCAGTCATCTGTTGTTGACCTTGTTTGATCATTCTTTCTATAACCTTCTTCTTATATTCTGGGGTCATACTTTCTGGTAGCTGTTTACTAAATACTGAAAGAAAAAAGAACCATTTCACTGCATCCAATCAAACTTTCTCAGAATAAATAGAATAGTGAAAACTCACATCTCATTTTCAACAGAATTTTTTTGATAATATACCCGTTATAAGTGTTCTCCCCAGATATTTCATATAGCATCCTGGTAAACAGGGAAATTTGAAATACCATCTTGTTTCTAAAAAATATAGCATCACATCCATTACACAACCTATAAGAAAATCAATTTAGATAGCATCACATTCAAGAAATATAGCATAACATTACCATGATGCTAGAAGTCCCTGGGGGAAAACACTGCTAAGTTTATTAACCCTTTCCTCCATGGAAATTTTTTTTTTACATACTTGATTTGCATAGGATTTTTCATTAAAATGCTGAAAATATGCTTACTTTAATGAAATATTAACTGTACCTCTAATAGACCAGTTAGACATTTGAAATTTTTTGTCAGTTATACATTTAAGTCAGATCTACAAAATTTACTAAAAAAAATTTTTTAATATTGTTGCCATTGTAACAGATTTATCCAAATATAAAATTAAAATGGTTAAATTTTGGGTTAAATCTGGTAATATCAATTTGTTTCTAAGAAAACAATGAGAGAATTGAATGTACATAAATAATCTGAATGGAAACTTTATTCACCACGGCTTGTTGATATGTTTATCTATTGCCTGGTTACTTACTAAAAATTGTCTATTTTTTTCCTCATAGCAACAGAAGTATTTCCGTAGCAACCAAAGAAAATTGTGATTAAATTTTGAATTTAAAAAAAAAATTGGTGAAAATATTTAAAAATAAGGTTTTTACAGGTTAATCAAGATGACTCATATATTGGAATATATTATGGAAAATAATATTGTACATTATTTTTCCCTAGCAACAGTTTCTGTTCATAGCAACCAACTGAAATCCTGTATAATAAGTAAAAAATGAACAGTTGACAGTTAGATGTTTTGGATGATAACAAATGGAAACTTTTTATCACAACATTGCTCTTGAAAAAGATTTAACATATGTGTGCTCCTAGCATCCAAATAAGGCCCAAGAATCAGACTGAAAAGTAGGTGCTTAGGCCAACAAATTAGAAAATGCATTATTAGTTATCAGATATCTTGTTTCTAAAAGAAAATCTATGATGTTTGCGAAGTTGTTTAACAAAGACCTTTTTGTATACTAGTAGTGATAAATATCACAGTTTAAAAAGGCAATATGAAAATAATAGCATGTGGTATAGTTTCTTTTTATTACATTTTAGTACACCATTTTGCATCTGGTTTTAGTTGTGTTCAATGGAACACTGACACTGTTATTGTTAACAACATGCTGATTATGCATATGCCTGTTTCTCTTTGTAAAGTCCCCTTGAAAATGTAACATCAATCCTGAAATCTAGAAGGGTATTAAACTTTTTCCTATGTTGATATCCTGCTGTGCGTTTCATCACAATTTAAATTTATAAAAAATAAAAACATTATTTCAATTTAGGTTTTTTCCTATAAAGGCAAACCCCTTCCCCTCCAGAAATAACAATACATTAACTTGAAAGAATTCAGCTCACCCCTTCCCCAGGGTTAGGTATTTTCTTTGCATCATTCCTTCTTCTAGATACACAGAAGATTTGAAAGAAAAAAGATGAAGGAAAGGTTCCATTCATTTGTAAAACACGAATCATACATATATGCATATCTTTCAAAATCTACAATAGATAGCCATAAAATTGATTGGTTGTTTGTTTCACGTCCAGTGGCAAATATTTCATGCATATTCAGAAGGAGGTCCTTATAAATCCTTATTTGTTTACCTCTTCTCAATGCTAGTCTTCTAAAGATCTTTCTGTAGACTGTTTTGCATACAATAATGAAATAAGGAAATGTGGCAAGATTGCCAATGTGACAACTTTTCAACAGTCCAAATGATGTGGATGTAAGACAATGACCATTCATAGTTTATGTGTTATGCATGTTATGACAAAATGTGAAGCAATCCACACTAGAAAACCAACGGGCGATTTATGCTAAAAGGGTAAACAAAAAGATGATAGACAGCAACCAACAACAACCACGGAATAATAGACTTCTGACTTTGGACAGAAACATACATAATGTGGTTGTGTTAATTATGATTATGAGCGCACATTACTCCCCAAAGAGAATCAAAAGGGACATTCAAACGCATAAGTTGAAATAAACTGACAACACAATGGTAAACAACGAAAAAGAAAAAAGACAAACAACAGTATACAAAACACTATATAGAAAACTTAAGACTGTGCAACACAAACTTGGGCAGTGATTCAAATAGACAATAAATGTGGATAGTGTCCACATGTGGACACAGATGATGCCCCCGCTTGCATATCATATAGTTATAAAGGGACATAACTGAAGAACGGTAAAAGTGACGCTACCCAAATTTGAACTTGATCTGAGTTTTGTGGTAATAAGCATTGTGTGTAAGTCTCATAAAATTTGCTTGAGGCTATCTTAAGTGGAGAACAGAAACTAAAATTCAGCAATTTTTCTATTTTTAAACACGCATAACTCTAGAACGGTTGTGTATAAGTTTTATAACATTTAGTTGAGACAAACTAAACAATTCAGCAATTTTTATGATAATAAAGGGACACAACACTAGAATGGTAAAAGTGTCGCCACCAAATTTCATATTTAATCTGTATCATGTAGTAATAAGCATTGTGTATAAGTTTCATAACATTTGGTTGAGGCAACATAAAGTTAGAAAACGGAAACAAAAAATTTGTACTTGATCTTAGTTTTGTGGTAATGAATATTGTGTATAGCATAACTCAATAATGGTTAAAGTGACACTACCCAAATTCAAACTTGATCTGTGTTTTGTGGTAATAAGCATTGTGTATAAGTTTCATAACATTTGGTTGAGGCAAACTCAAGTTAGAGAACGGAAACCAATTTTGGGATGTACGTACGTACGTATGTACAGATGGACAAGGGGAAACTTAATGCCCCCACCGCTACGGCAGGGGCATAAAAAAGGAATAAAATGGAAAAGTCTGCTTTGAATGGCTTGAATCGATGTAGATAGGAGTGCTAAGCATCCATCCAAACACATGCTCTTTAATGGCTGACTTGACTCATTAGATTGGCAAGAAGTACATATAAAAATAAAATGCTCCGCAGGGCGCAGCTTGATACGACCGCAGAGGTCGAACCCTGAACAGTTGGGGCAAGTATGGACACAACATTCAAGCTTGATACAGCTCTGAATTTGGATTGTGATTAAATATTTGACACAGCATAGGTTTCTGACACAGAATGAATGTGGCCTAAGAACTTAAAAATTTTAAATTGGACATTCACCTATTATGGTCCAATATCCAAAATCTAAATACATGGTTAGATTCAGCATATCAAAGAACCCCAAGAATTCAATTTTTGATGAAATCAAACAAAGTTTAATTTTGGACCCCGATTTGGACCAACTTGAAAACTGGGCCCATAATCAAAAATCTAAATACATGTTTAGATTCAGCATATCAAAGAACCCTAAAAATTCAATTTTTGTTAAAATCAAACTAAAGTTTAATTTTGGACCCTTTGGACCTTAATGTAGACCAATTTGAAAACGGAACCAAAAATTAAGAATCTAAATACACGGTTAGATTCAGCATATCAAAGAACCCCAATAATTCAATTTTTGATGAAATCAAACAAAGTTAAATTTTGGACCCTTTTGACCTCAATGTGGACAAAGTTGATAACGGGGCCCAAAAATCAAAAATCTAAATACATGGTTAGATTCAGCATATCAAAGACCCCCATATATTCAATTTTTGTTGAAATCAAACAAGTTTAATTTTGAACCCCGATTTGGACCAACTTGAAAACTGGGCCCATAATCAAAAACCTAAATACATGTTTAGATTCAGCATATCAAAGAACCCTAAAAATTCAATTTTTGTTAAAATCAAACCAAGTTTAATTTTGGACCCTTTGGACCTTAATGTAGACCAATTTGAAAACGGAACCAAAAATTAAGAATCTAAATACACGGTTAGATTCAGCATATCAAAGAACCCCAATAATTCAATTTTTGATGAAATCAAACAAAGTTAAATTTTGGATCCTTTGGACCTCAATGTGGACCAATTTAAAAACGGGGCCCAAAATCCAAAAACTTAATACATGGTTAGATTCAGCATATTAAAGAACCCCAAGAATTCAAGAATAAAACCCCATTGAAATTGATCAAGAAATAAGCAATTTATACGAAGTCTCTTCTTTTGCACAATACTGTGCAATTGAATATTTCTTGCTATTGCGCAATACTGTACAATTGACAATTTCTTGCTATTGCGCAATATTGTGCTATTGGATATTTCTTGCTATTGCGCAATACTGTGCAATTGAAGATTTCTTGCTATTGCGCAATACTGTGCAATTGAAGATTTCTTGCTATTGTGCAATACTGTGCAATTGAAAATTTCTTGCTATTGCACAATACTTATTAGATAATAATTTACACATCCTGTTTGGTGTGTATCTCCTACCATATCATTATTATTTGCTTTTAAATATTAATCAGAAATAACCAACTTAAAATGGAAAATTTTAAAAGAAAAAAAAAAGGAAAAAAAGAAAAAAAAAGAAACCCCCCCCCCCCCAAATTTTTTGAACCCCCTTATGATTCATCACCCCCAAACTCAATCCCAGCCTTCCCTTTGTGGTATGGAACCTTGCAGTACAATTTCAGAGAGATCCATACACTTGAACACAAGTTATTGTCTGGAAACTAGAAAAATGCTTATTTTTGGCCCCTTTTTGGCCCCCAATTCCTAAACGTTTCGGGCAATTACCCCCAAACTCAATTCCAGCTTTTCCTTTGTGATATGGAACCTTGTAGTACAATTTCAGAAATATCCAAACACCTTCACACAAGTTATTGTCATGAAACTAGAAAAATGCTTGTTTTTTGCCCCTTTTTTGGCCCCTAATTCCTAAAATTTTGAGGCAATTACCCCCAAAATCAATTACAGCCTTTCCTTTGTGATATGGAACCTTGTGGTACAATGTCAGAGAGATCCATACACTTACACACAAGTTATTGTCTGGAAGTTACAAAAATGCTTATTTTTGGCCCCTTTTTGGCCCCTAATTCGTTAACTGTTGGTACCATAACCCCCAAAATCAATCCCAACCTTCCTTTCGTGGTATTGAACCTTATGGTAAAATTTCATGGAGATCCATTCACTTAAACTAAAGTTAGAGTGCGAAAACCAATGTGTCTTCGGACGACGCCAGACGACGACGACGCCGGACAAAGACGACGACGACGCCAACGTCATACCAATATACGACCAAAAAATTTTTAATTTTTGCGGTCGTATAAAAATTAAAAAAAACAAAACATGTGAGTGAGTGAGTGAGTGAGTATTGATCTAAGAGTACACAGTTACTGAAAGCTAGTTTAAAGCCAATTGATTATAACTATTAATAGGTTTTTTTTTTTCTCCTAGACTAACAAAATATTAGTCATTAACAGCCAGTGGAAGTAGAAAACAAGTTCCTCAAAAATCAACTTGAAAAAAATTTGCAACATACAATGTATGAACATGACATGTTCTTTCATCAAAGTTTAGGATACTAATATTATTTGATATCCCTGTTGTTCCTCTACTAAACATTAATAATAAGATGTGCCGATCAGTTGGTTGCTTTAATTTAAGGTAGCTTTTAATCAAATGAGTAACTACATTTTTACTTCTATCTCGCATTTTGATTCTCTGAAACCCGAAATACGGCGAAAATCGTGAAGAGAAAAATGCATGTATGTCTGTTCTTTTAGTCTGACATATTTTATAAATGGGAAGTGAACCGCAACGTTAAGGCTCTGTAATTTGTTAGTCAAATTGTTACTACTAAAACAAAGTGGTTCACGGAACTATATGCCTTCATAATTGTTGAAATAAACATCGCGGAAAAAATATTCATCATCTTTTGTTTGTGTAAACATCACTGTAAAAACGGTAAATTCTATTGGTGGGCGGGGCTTAGAATCACAACTTACAGATGCTGAATATTGTTGCATAATTCGCTATTCTCGTTAATTTAATTGAAGAACTTAAAATAATTATGATTGAAACTTAAATGTCACTTTCTATAAGCAAAAACATTGAAAGATTGTACGTTGAAAGATTTTTTTGTGGTCATTAAAATTTGTATGTTCCCGCCCACTTAATGACTTGCCGGAAGTGGTATAATGGGATTCCCCAAACACGTTTACATTTTACAAGTTGCTATATTTGTTCACACAATGGGTCAGAAAAGAATTGTATGGACTCGACTGCATATCGCCGCGTTGTTCATTAAATTTCTGATATTTCAACGTAAGTTTAAAAAAAAAAATGCTTTTGTCGCAATAATGTACGACTCCAAAGCGAGAAAAGCGGCAGTGAACACTCGGAGTTTCAAAATAAAGTTTTTCTTACGGAAAATAATTTTTTACGCAAACTGTAATCAGGAGTTGTGTTCATAAAGTGTCATTGTAATACATAAATGTAAGTAATGAAGAAAACAATAGGATGTCAAAATGACAGCAAACCAGATTTTACATACATTTTAACACATGATTTACTTTATGAAACATATATGTGTATTTTCAAATAACACTGTTTAACCAAAATTGTAGAACCACTTTTATACTACATTCTATTATTAAATCTAATCAGATTGCATTTGATGAAGACTTTCACATTCTCTGTCTAACCATTGCTAACCAACTAAAAGCAGGGCTACAGATAAATCTTGGGATTTAGATTAATCTTTTTATTTACTGTAAATTCAGAAAATATTGCATGCGTTTTATCATTGCGATTTTTGAAGAAATGGACTAAAATGTGAGATTAATTATTGTGATTTCAGGAAAATCTGCATACAGATATATGTATCAGATATCAGAATGGGAGTTCTTATTATTGCGATATTTACCTAGTTGCATCATTCACATTAATAAAAACCTTGCAATAATTTCCAAATTTACAGTATTATAATTTTTATACTGTTATAAATAAACTTACTATAGTGTTCACACCACCACATCCATAGAGCTGAGGCAGTACACACCAACAATGTAGCTGAGAAGATCTGTTTCCATTCACCTGTAGGTGCATTCATTTCAGAAAAGGTTTGACAGAAACTTGCTCTATACACTGAAATCAAAAATACATGATATAAATAGACCACTTGAAATTTGCTACAAATGTGTGGTTTTCTCAATTATACATAATTAATTAACAAAGTAAAGGGGTATTTTGATAGATAATGGTACAATATGATAAGGATTAATAATAACAACAGTTATTACATGGGCATCTAATTCCAAATGTCTACAATATAAAAATACACTGTTATTTTTCACTTGAAATACTATATATATATATTTCTATTGAAGAAACTTTGCATATTGTTGTTTTCAATATTCCAAGTTTTTTATTGCCTTTGATCTACCATGTCTACTACATGTATATCTGAACTACTTTCCAGATTTTCTTGTTTTTTTTTTTTTAATAAAATGGATATCTTAATTGCTTTATTACATGTTAAGTCAAAATATGTAAAAATATATAAATATTAAATTAACAGATGTATCTTCAGCCCTGATACACATTTGGACAACTCTTTTGTGTATCTATAAAAATAAGATGTGGTATGATTGCCAATGAGACAACTCTTCACAAGAGACCAAATGACACAGAAATTAACAACTAACGTACAGGTCACCGTACCACCTTCAACAATGAGTAACACCCATATCGCATATAGTCAGCTAGACAGTTTTTCTAGTATTGGATAAACATGAGAAAAGATAATACATTTACTGGTTCTGAAGAAAACAGAAACTTTTAATGGTATATACATCTATTGCTGCTGATGGATATAATAAAAAATTATCTGATATGATAATTTCTGATCATATGTTGACACTACATATAATTTATTATGCTGTTTTGGATATTTGTCCACAAGTTTTTACTTTTTTATTTGTGAATTGACCATCTGATGTAATAGCAATCCTGTATAATATGGAACATATGCTTTAATAAAACTTTAGTGTTCATTGTTTTCCTTAAAAAAAAAGTTCACTCATATTCATGCTTTGTTTACTTGTTTAAATTATATGATTATTTCCAAAATTAACATGTCTATCTTGTTTGTAACTAATACTTGTCATAATTCCAAATCAAATTTAATTTTAGAAATACTGATCATGATATCAAAATTCGTATCAAAACTTAAAACAATATTACATCAAAAATTAAAATAATATATAATTACATGAATTATACATAAATACACAATGTACATGTATATATATATTACTTCATTACAGATCCATCATAGCCTGCATCTTTCACCTGATAGAAATGTTTCAAAAGTCTTATAACCATGAAGAAATATCCTTATTTCCAAAATGGCATTAAGTAAATATGTCTGTTTTACCTGACCATTAGTGACCAATGAACAATCAAGGTATAATTTGCTATGAGTTTCCTTACTTTATCTTTTGCTACATTTACTCAACCTTAAGTGATAATTGGTTGTCATAGTAACCACATTCTAATAGTATTTTAAAAAAGCAACCTGAAGATGGGTTTCCTTTTGCCTTTAGTACAATACTGATCGTTGATAACATAAAAGTCATAACAAAGATTTTACTTCACATATCCCATTAGAAGTTCATCATACTAGACTGCTGATCAACATCATTATACCTCATACAGAACAATCCTGCCATACTAGGTTTCAATGAAGCCAGCAATTTATAACAAAATAATTTTGGGAATCATATGGCAACATTCATTATCCAAAGTAAGCTGTGATATATCTAACCTTCATGGAATATGTTTGTGTGCCTTCTTTGTTAAAGTGCTTCATGGGAACATTTCAACAATTATCAACAAACAACAGAAGACTGATGCCAAGTCATGGTAATAACGCAGTTATTGGTACAGTGGTTAAAAGCAAAAGCAAAGCTTAAGATTTGACCAAGCTACCATGCAAGCAGTCACATAAATGACTAACAGATTTAGCTAATACAGTGCACATTGACAGCAATGGTATATTAGTGTATAAACACTGATTATAAGTGTGTGCACACCGTTTATAAAGCAGGTCATAGTAGACATTTCAATAACTTTCAACAAATCATATTTAAATTAAGACTTAATTTAAGTGTAAAATTCTTTTATGTTACACAGGAAATGCTTTATAAACCAGAAGACAAGTGGTTATTTACCTTCTTTATTTTCACAGAAAAGTACCTTCTAACAACCAAATATACATTTCTTTTCAAATCAGTTTAATAAGGATATGGACAAGGCAAATATGTGACAAATTTAAAGAAACCAATTAAATATTCAGGGGTTAAAATTAGCAGTGGTCCGAGGTCCGGGACCTATAAGATTTACGGTCAGACTTCCAATTTGGTTATTAGCTGTACACTACGGACTTTCGATTTTCAAGTTCCAGAAAACATATATGATGAATTTCTGTATGAAAAACTTTGATATAACTTGCAAATTGATGTGGTAATGAGTCACGATAAATTAGCTGTGTGCTGAAATTTATTTTTATCTTAGCGATCTACTTCATGGTTCATTAAATAGTACAGTGTGTCGGATGACAATTTTTATGGGTGCTTTCGTCATGGTTCGCATTCGTCATATTAACGCATGTGGTTAACATTGCTAAACCATGAGTTTGTTTTGATTTGGCGTCACGTATTCTAAGAGAAAAACGGACAAGGCAGATGAAATTCTGACTACCTTGGGTGTAGCTAAACAAAAGAAGTCCACAAGGAAGTCTTGAAAGTTTAAACAAGGTTAAAAGTTATGAATTTGAAAAGGTTAGATTTTGTGTCTGACAGTTTCATCATAAGACAAAATAATTCAATCTTACATGTCTTATGATTACAAAGAAGAGAGATGTTAACAGAAAGCAGGTATAGCTTGTAAATGATGCCACCACTGACACCTTTTGAGCATTACCAGTTTAGAATGGCTATCCAGAGTACACACGTCTCAGTGGATCTGAAGTGCACCATTATTTAGTATGATATGTGTAAGCTACATCAGTTATAGTAGCAGCAACTGAAAAATAATTTACAACAAAATAGTTCAGTCTCAAGACATTGTTACTGACTTTCATTATCTTTTTGTGGTAATAATATGGGAAACCAAGCAGGATGTTAATGCTTACTCAACAGTCAGGGGTACTATTTAAACAAGTGATTTCAGAATCACTTCTTCGAGTGATTTTGACTGCGAAATATTAAAATTTTTCACAAAAATAGACACAGACTTTTTAAAATCACTGAAACAAGTAATTTGGGAAGTTAAAATGTAATCACTTCAATAAGTGTTTATAACATTTTCTTGATATTTTTCCCACAAGCTTGATTTTTTTTTATTAGTAAAAAGACAAGAATTCAATTGAAAAAATAACTATGTACATACAGAAATTGTCTTTTGCTTGATAAGTCTGTCAGTTTTTCCAGTTTATTTAGAATATGCAAAAACTGGAATAATTTGTAGATCAGGACATAACCTTGAAGTAGATCATTCTAACTCTAAAGAAAACCAATCAGGTTACCTAATATTGTTGACCTTTGTCTGATAGTAAGAGTAGTTAATGAATATTTGATTACAGAACAATTCCCAAGGGTACTTTTAAAAGCTTTAGCGCACTAACTTACTGGCCAAGTGCACTAGTGAAATTGATATACAAAGGAAAAGGGATAAAAGATCTATGTAGGAAAATTATAGAAAAGTTTGTCAAAATATGGAAAATCAATGAAATTAGCATTTGAAGATCAAAGGAAACACCAAAATCACTTAAATAGGTGATAACTGAATTTATCAAATCACTGAAATAGGTGATAATTATATATATAATGAAATCACTTGTTTAAGTAGTACCCCTGACTGCTCAATACAGCACATCCTTGTACATGTATTGCTATCAAATTATTTGAATATTCATTCTTATTGTAAACAAGAGTGGAAACACTGAAATGTCTCGCCTGTTTTAGTGTTCATAATTGAATTTATGTTGAAAGTAAAAAAATAAGTTTATATAAGCTTTACATTAAATTAACATTTTAAAGATGAATGAACATGAAGTCAAGGTGAGATAAACCCTATCAGACAAACATGTAGGCCGTACAATGATTCCATACACCAAATTTATTTAACATATATTGCCTAAAGTATCTTAGAAACAAACCTCATTGAGGAAACTGAACTTTGACCAATGAACCATAAAATGAGGTCAAGGTCAGATGAAACCTGTCAGACAGACGTGCACACCTTACAATCATTCCATACACCAAATATAGTTGACCTATTGCTTATAGTATTAGAAAAACAGACCAAAACACAAAAACTTAACATTGACCAATGAACCATGAAAATAGGTCAAGGACAAATGACACCTGCCAGACAGACATGTACACCTTACAATCATTCCATACACCAAATATAGTTGACCAATGGCTTATAGTATTAGAAAAACAGACCAAAACACAAAAACTTTACATTGACCAATGAACCGTGAAAATGAGGTCAAGGTCAGATGAAACCTGCCAGACTGACATGTATCCCTTATAATCATTCCATACACCACATATAGCTGACCTACTGCTTGTAGTATCTGAGAAACGGACCTAATCACGTAACTTTAACCTTGATCACTGATCCATGAAATGAGGCTGAGGTCAGGTGAACCCTGTCTGATGGACATGTAGACGTTGCAAGGAACCCATATACCAAATATAGTTATCCTATTACTCATAATAAGTGAGAAATTTACATAACAAAAAACTAAACTTTTTTTTCAAGCAGTCGCTGAACCATGAAAATAAGATCAAGGACATTGGACATATGACAGACGGAAAGTTCGTAACATAAGGTATCTGCATACAAAGTATGAAGCATCCAGGTCTTCTACCTTCTGAAATATAAAGCTTTATACAAATAGTTTACGCCGCCGTCGCCGCCAGATAGTAATACCTATGTCTCACTTTCTGCAACTTTCGTCGCAGGCGAGACAAAAAAACTAGAGTTAGAGATCTGGTTTAACTGATGGTTATTAGACCTTTGAAAATCATCATATTGCACCAATCATTGATCATCAGTCGATGTCTATTCAGAGATCACTAATCTATAAAATCTTATTTTCATCACAACCTTTCATTGATGGACCAAACGTGTTTGCAACAAGAAACTGTGTTTAATGAAACAATATGTTTACAAATGTAAAATACACCTATGGAGATTAAGTTGTTAATCACCCCTGGTAGCATTTTTTCTCAGTGATTTACTCTCAAATACCTTTACATAGATTCAATAGACAGTACATCACAAGGTCATAAATCAGATTGTTATCACTCAAACTCTCTTCTATCAATAACATGTAATTCGCTCAACACAAGTATGTAAATGTAAGAAAGATTGTTTTACAAAATCACCTTCTGTGTACTGTATTATAGACAAGCAACACTTTTGATCAGACTTCAACTTTGAATATTGTGGGCACCTTTGAATTTTTTGTTTTTCATATTTTTATTTATAAGAGTTGACATGCATGAACACCTGATAAATACATACAATCTTTTCTTTCCTCCATGGTTAGATTCTTCCATTCTCCTAATTCTTTATCCTTGAGAGCCATAACATCTGGGGTGTTGGCCTTCCACTTGAGTGCTGGAAATGGATAATCAGTTCTGTCTTCATAACAGGGTCTGACACTGTAACCATTGCCCACAATATCTCTGTTTCCTAAAAAAATAATAGTGAACATAATGAATGGGTTAGCATCAAATTTAAATTATATTCTAAATGTAGGCATATGTCAGATACATGTACAATGTAGCAGCAATAAATCATCACAGCAATAAAACAGCTTACTCTCTTCAAAATTATGATAATTCAATTCAGATAAAATCAAATATCATCTGAATTGGAGAAAAAAAAAGGTATATATGATCTGTTTAAATCCAAAATGACAGTCAGACTGGTCTTGGTACTCATTATAATATTAATTCAATCACTAGTGTTCATCTTTCGTTGTAAAATATGTGTGTTCAAAGTGAAAGTGTGTGTGTTTTTATTTTAAAGAAACAGGAACATTGAATAATTTACACACAAAAATATGAGTTTAAGCCACTATTTACTGAAAGATTGTTGTGAACATGGTTAAAGTGTGCAAACATGCCAAGATGATATGATTGAACTCTTTTTCTCATAGAAAACTTTTTTCTGTTTGAGTATTAATAAACTTATGTATTCTGCGGTAAAATCCATCATTTTTTGTTTGTGTATAAAACTAACCTATTTTGGAATATTGTTTATCTATTTCTGTTTGTCATGTTTGTGTATTAAACTACCTATATTTTTTTATTTTGAGGTAAAATTTATCTTTTTCTGTTAGTGTATTAAACTTACCTATTTTGAGGTAAAATTTATCTTTTTCTGTTTGTGTATTAAACTTACCTATTTTGGGGTAAAATTTATCTTTTTCTGCCTGTGAAAGTGTTACAACTTCTTGTTGTTGACATACTGAGGTAGTTGACACAGCTCTCAAAGGGACTTTGTTTACAGCTCTAGCAGAGGACTTCAGTATATGAAAACTCATGGTTGCCTACAAATACACAAAGAGTACATTTAATTCAGTTAATGACTTATGATGTCATGGATGTGGACTTAATAAATATTAGATTTCATGATCTTTTGCTTCAACATATTAAAAAAATCCTTACTATTTAAAAATTTGTAATCTATGTCTCACCTGCTATTGCTGCTGTCAGTGTACAATTTTAATGTTGACTTAAAAAGTGAGTCCATTTATCAGTAAAATAAAAAATTTAAAAAAAAACACCAAACTTTTTCTTTATTTGCCATTTCATGGTCTTAAAGCTTAGGAAATAAGTATGACCTTAACCTTGGTCGCATCTGAATGTTTAGATAAAGGAAAAAATCCAAAGCTCTATGTCATGGTCAGCAAAATGTTAAATATATCACAAGGACCTTAGAGCTACGGTTCGGCAACTATCCACCAAATTGTGAAATAACAAAACTAATTATGCAAATGAACTGAATAGAATGAATACATGGACCGAAATATATATATGTATAAACGAGTCTAAATTGAAAACAAAATTCAAACCTATGATTGCGTTGGATAAAAACCGCAATATTTACAAGTGTGCATGCAAAACAAATTTCTTGTTAGAGGGGTCTAAATACAGCACAAACAACATTTTCCAAAAGACCAAAAAAGTGAAAAAGTTTATTTTAACAAAACGCATTTGACTAACAGGTCGAACAACAAATGACTTCTTAAACCCTGTTGACTGCCATTGGCGATTGCCAAATAAACAGATCAAAGATTCAATAAATGGATCTTAATTATAAATTTAATACTAAACAGAAAACAATAAACTTGCGGAAAAGATGGTATACCCGCAAACAAAAGGTGCAAAGGTTTGTGTACACCAAGTCACCATATCCGCATTTCGACAATTAATGTCTCTTCAGCAGGTTGGGAACAAACCCTCTACATGGTGTTTTTACCTGTATAGAGTGATAAACCTTCTATAGAGGGATAAAATTATCCCTCTATAGAGGGGTATTTTTGTTTATACTGGATTTAAAGCAAAATAGGACAGATTGGCATTTTCTAGTTATATTGGCTATAATCTATAGCATTGTATGCATCAGTTGATGAACTTAATTTAATTTGTACATGCCCAGTTTACTGCTAAACTGACTGAATATACAATCTATTGTTCATCATAATTGAAAGCTGTGATGATCAGGTAAATTCTACTGTTATGCCCCACTGAACAGAATTTCTATTGTTAGATTTAACATAAAATATAAAGGTCAACTGTCCCTTTTGTTGTTGATCAGGTGTTCAGATAGCTATACAATAGATTTCAAGTTCTGTCACTTTAGCAAAAAACTGGGCATCCCAATTTTTAATAAAGTGCATTTATTGATGCATACAATGCTATAGATTATAGCAGAGACATATAATACAAGAGATTCGCAACTCTAGTAGAGTCTATATAACAGCCAATGAAATGACGTGGCCACCGGAAAGCCGATTAATCCGATGGATTTATGGGTAATAACCCGTATTGTTGTGTAAAAGGTTCTACGCCTCACGATTTTTCTAATGGATAATGCCGATGCCTTTCACAGCTAAAGCATGCAAGTATATTTAAAAGTTACAAAAAACTAATTCTTATAATTTGTTATTGATAAAATGTGTTCTAATGATGAGATTAATCAAATACAAACAAAGTTAAAACTCGGCCCATTTTACTTCACCTATTGCCGTAGAAACCATTTGATCTCCCAATTTTTTTCTTAAAACTTGAAAATATGCTAATAAATATATAATTTTATGGGCCAATAGTACTCCCAAATGTTGTTTAGTGAAAATAAGACTATTTTCGGAAAATTTGATCCAACAATGTGGCGATTTTTTCTGATTGATACCCGAAATTTTTTATTAAACTGGCTAAATATTGAAATTGTTCATGGACAAATTTCCTTAAATCAGTCCTTCTTTTTTGTGCACTATGAAATTTATAGCCTGCATTTTGTTAGACATTTTATTCATTTTTCATTCTGTTTATAGCAAAGTTGTTTATTTTCTCCTATTCTGAAGTCATTGTTTTTTTCTTCTTTTTAGGGTGCCAAAGATGAACGAATGCAGTAAATTTACAAAAGGAGTAAAATTTTCCTAGTAAAGGAAACCTTCTGCTGGTCGTAATATTATGAATGAGCTTCATATGCATCTGTTGTCGTTTCAGACTACGCTTCTCGTTCAAAACATTCATGAACCTAATTCATTTTTAAATTAAAATCGTATTGAGGACATTTCAATGGTGACTGCAAAAGATATATATATATATATATATATATATATATATATTTGATAATAAAAGATTTTATTTACACCAAGGATTTGTATATGTATACACATAAACAATCTTACTTTTAAATTGCCATCTCTTTACCCCAGAATAATAAGACAAAAACCGCTACAAATGATTAAAAGACAAAAACCACTACAAATGATTGTCTCGTGGAAACAAGGTTATAAAATACTTTTTAAATAGTGTCTTCCTTGTTGCTTTGATGTATGACCTGTGTTTTTTTATAGATTTTTTTGTCCAACTCCAAACGCTTATATCCATCTATGTATGCAGTATTGTCAATTGTTTTTGTTGGTGGGTCTCTCGCTTATGTTTTCGTCCTTTTCACTATCAACAAAGAGTTCGTTATCAGTTTATTCAACTAGGAGTATATCTAAGTCGTAACTATTAAGATTGTCATCCCACGAAATTAAGATTGTCATCCCACGAAATTAAGATTGTCATACCACGAAATAAAATTGGAATTTTCCATATTGCGTGCACATGAATGAAGCTTTATTCAAATGAGAAATTAATTGTAATTTTCTTAAATATTAATTCTCAATACACACTTCGAACATGAAGAAACCATAAATTTACCGACAATCATTTAAAAAAACAACTCATTGCAAGCCTATATGATAAAACTGTCAAACAACACTTAGAAATCAAACATTTACCGACAATCCTACAGAAAAAAAACTCAATGAAAGCCCAATAAATGAGGAATATGAAAATAAATAAAATTTTAATAATTTATAAATATCAAGAATAAAAAACAAAGCCTATCATGATTAACCATTAATTAACAAATAAATTAAGTTTTTTTCCATATTGATTAATTATACATTTTGTGACTTGTATTTTTGGAAAGAGTGTGGACACCTGTGGTGTGACAACTTCTTGTTTACAAGGTGTTAATTAAAACTCATTATTTATAACATGTTCGTGATTTACCTGGTCATCGAATAATTCAAACCTAATATACATGTCACACTGTGAAATTATGTCTCCGAGACAGGTGTATATTCAATAGAAACCCATTATGTAACTATCAAATAAAATGAACTCTGACACAATTTATCAAGTGTTAATTATTTAATATCAGTTTTTTTTTATACAATATCAAATTATGTCTCTTTTTCAATAATACAAATCTAAAATCAAAATTACATTAAAATAAATAATTATATATGTACTCAAATTATATTTAATTAATTATGATAAATTTAACACTGAAACAGTTTATGTTATGCTTAAACATTCGTCCTTACTTCGAGTACTTTTAATACTTTTATTAATGACTTTATTACCTATGGAGATCTCGCGAGGTTTAACTAGTGGCCGCGTGTTATTACGGGATTTCGCCGAGTTGCGAATCTCTTGTATTATATGTCTCTGATTATAGCCAATATAACTAGAAAATGCCAATCTGCCCTATTTTGCTTTAAATCCAGTCTAAACAAAAATACCCCTCTATAGAAGGATAATTTTATCCCTCTATAGAAGGATTATCCCTCTATACACTAATACAGGTAAAAACATCATGTAGAGGGTTAGTCCAAATAATTATGACGTCTTGAAAGGCTATTATATTTTTTTTCTTTGACGCCTTACATCGATGTAAGGCATCAAAGAAAAAAAATATAATAGCCTTTCAAGACGTCATAATTATTTGGACTAGTAGAGGGTTTGTTCCCAACCTGTTCAGTGATGTTAGGAATCGAAACGGTATTTGGAAAGCCATACAATTTACCTCAATTTAGGATAGCCTCTTGAATATATATCTATATTATATATATAATGTGAAAAGGCTAATACATGGGGTAATCTTTAACAACCTGTTATTTTTGGTTATACAAGTGTTGAAGGTCATTTTCAGTGATTAAGGTAAAAGTACTCGCCGTACTCAATTATAATGGTCTGACCATAAAAAGGAATTTTCGAAATGTGTGGCCGATAAACAAAGACAAATATCTGAACATTTGCGTATCCTAATCGTATCTGCCAATTATTGAAAAAGTGCTAAATTCTTCTTACTTTCCTCAGCGAGTATCCCAAATCACGTAGTTTCTCGGAAGAAAGTCTTTGTCTAAATGGCACTTGATTCGGGATAGTCAAAATACGATTTTGTGAGATTGTTCGTTTTGAAGAACTATGAAGGTATAGCCTAAGATCACAAAATATTTCTTCATAAATATCCCTCCACCAAGTACATTTAAAAGACCCTTTGCATGATTCACATGACACACACCCCCACATATATATTATATATATATATATGGATATGGTGACATGAAGGTGTTCACGCTTTTTGGTTTTGGTTTTGATGTTGAGTTTTTTTTCTTTCTATTTTTTTACGATTAAGTTAAAAGTTTTTTTTTATGTATAATCAATACAATGATTACTCTCTAATGAACCATTATTGTCTGATTAGTTTGTTGTTTAGTTTGTTTTATTATGTTATGAATAATTACATTGTAATTAATCTGCCCTTCAAAGGACACCTTGATTGGTTAATAAAATTATCTATATCTTTATCTGTCACTTATTACAACTCTAACCACACTTCCTTATACTGTAGTATGAGAAACAAAACTGTATTTCCGAGTCTGTCCTAGTTGCAGTGACTATTATAAAACCAACATTTACTAAACCCTTCAATATCTGCAATTTAGTCACATGTATGCCTTAAGGTGGTACCCAACACCTTGACTAATAATAATTTGGCTCGTTTAATTTTCATAAAATTTTGACCGAATGTTTACTTTGACCCTTTGACAAAAATATAAAAATTTCAAAAAATTTGAACCAACCACTTTATCAGAAAAATTTCATTGGTTATATAGCAGTTTGACAAACACCAATTTTGATCATTGAGAAGCTTAATATTTCCTTAACAATACAACGTAATCAAAACGTTTAGCTGATTTTTACAGAGTTATCTCCCTGTAGTGTTAGGTACCACCTTAAGCTCTAGATAGATTTCTCCGGGAGATCACATTAATATATAGTATATATTTTTCTTCTTCTTCTATATATAGTAGTTAAACCCATTGATGAGTACTCAATACTTTGTGTGTGCGTAGGTGCTGGTAATGTCTATTTACAATGATTAAAATACAAAAGTAAAAAATACGGTGCATGCTGTACAGGTGGTGCACCGTGCAGGATAAAAACATTCCGTCATCTACGCAATCAGTGTCTTGAAAACTTCCATAGTCACTGGGAGCTTTCACTGTTGAGTCCATTAGTTTATTCCAGGCTATTATTGTTTTGGAAAGAATGAATACTTGAAATAGTCGTGTCTTGGGCTGAAGATGGTGTATGCCATGGAATTGTAGTGTCTTGATGGTCTGTTTAGTGGGATAAAATAGTTTTCTGTTGGAATTGGTACGAGTCCATTTATAATTTTGTATAGTAAGCATAGTCTCATTCTGATGTTAGCTCTTCGTTGATATAGAGGTATTTAATTCATTATGTGAAATATATATATATCTTAAATTATAAATATGTTCAAAATGAATAACTTTCGGCATATTTCTTGTGAATTATCTTTATGTTTATACCTATGTTACCTGTGAAATTAATGTAACATTTAAAAATATATTCCCAAATTCGCGCAAATGTAATGCGCCCAAAATGCCAACTATTGAAGTATCACTTATTTGTATACAGAGTTATATACAATTTATATGACCATTCACATATGGTCCAAATATACTCATATGGTTCGGATCATATCCATTTTCTGACTATTTGAAATCCCCTAATTCCCCTTTCGCAATTCAATAAATGTTACAAATGTATGCTTTTATAAGATTTGATACATTTTTTTTACATGTGAATAATGAAGTCATAAAATTAGATTCCAGATTTCGATCCTATCTTTACCAATAATTATACCACAGAAGTTCTAAAACCTATGTTGGCTGTATTCAATTCGAACTTACTTATAATTAATTAAAAACCGCGAGGGAGACTTTTTAACATCTACATGTATCTTTTTATGATAATATTTCTAACCAATGATCCCATTGTTCAAAAAACGAGATTTTGGAGGAACACCTTTACCCGGCTAGTAATGGACTTTCTGCTAAAATACAAATCAGGACCATAGAAAATAAAGATAGATGAAAAAAGATACAACTGTCATATTCCTGACTTGGCAAAGGCTTTTCCTAATGTAGAAATTGGTGGAGTCAAGAGTACACCATTATGCCATTAGTTGTAAGGTGAGTTTAAAAGAAAGATAATTATTTTTTTATTATTTTAATAGATACTTAATTTCAAATAAAGTACGTAATATCGTTTATCTTACTAAAATTTAATCTGAGTTTGTTATAGTCTGAGCTTGTTTTAGGGTGAGTTTGTGAAGCAGGGTTTGTTATAGGTCGAACTTGTTATAATCCTAGTTAGTCTAATGGGACGAGACATCAGGGAGTCATTTGCAGTCAATTTTTATTATTTTCCTTCAAATTATAATGACTTTTGTTTTTCATTTTTTTGTATATAGTCCACATGTGCATAATTTATTCTTCGGACGTCAATGGTTTATGAAGAAGTGCTATTTTTGTATTTGAAGTTCGGTTTACTTTATATTTTGTTACATTAATTTGTGTAACTTAGTGATATCTTTATTATTTCTTAAAAGGATCATCTTTCCTCCTGCATAGAACCTTTTTTCAATAAACAAACATCATAATGATCCAGATATCGGAAAATGATGTAGAAATATTTTTGTTGATTTATATATTTTATAGAAAGTCCAATGAGTTAAAGAGCTATAACATTCATATTTGAATTAATTTACATTTCCTTATGGTGGGATGCTGAGACTCATTCGAAACGGGTTGAACAAGATGCCAGGACAATTCAGAAGTTTTATTTGGGACCCAAAACTGATAATTTCACAGATAATTGCACTTCAATGCCTGTTTTATGCCACATACATAGTCTTTATTTATCTTCTTGATATTGCTGGCCGCTTCGACGCATCATTAGACCAGATTTTTACGCAGATAGTAAGTGAATATACCATATTGAATTTATGAATCTGGGTCTGTTTGCCCACAACACTTTTGCCTAGTAATTCAATCATTGACCGGATACAGATAGAGATGGTCCAGAGGAATTCTAGTCAAATCAGCACCTGGTTAAATCAGCACCTGTTCAAATCGGTACCCGGTATAGTCAAATCGGCACCTAGTCAATTTTGCACCTGGTTAAATCGGCACCCGATGAAGTCATTTCGGCACCCATGTTAGATATGTTTAATATATGTTTTTTTCAGTATTTTAAGCAAAAAGGTTAAAATAAAGAAGGGGTTAAACAAGTATTGACTTATTTACATTTTTGGGGGATTTCTGTATGTATTTTTTTTTGTCAACTTAATGTGTATTCAAGGTATTGGATATTTGTTATGCATGTTTTAACTAGTTGAGCATTTTGCATGATTGTTGGTTTAATGCTGTTTAAAGTTTCCTGAAAAACCACCTTAATTGCTTATTATTTTGCATGCAAGTTTGATTAGTGATAGTTATGAATGGAACTCATAGTTTTCCCTTTTATTGCATCTAATTTTCTCATAATTAAACAACAGCTTGGGTAATGGCTTCATTGTTTATTATTAAGTTTTTGAAGAAAAAACAGCAATAACTACCTGTATAGAGTTAAAACAACAAACATGTTAATTATGTAATTGATATAAGTTATTAATTAATTGAAAAGAAAACTAATCAAAACATCAGTCATAGAATGTTGAGAAAACTTTAAACAATAAATTTTTAAATTTATTTTTAAAGATGTAATGAATGATAAAATCCAACCCCAAAAATAATCATAAATAGAAAGATCATTTATACATTTTTAGAATTATTTTTATATATATATTATATCAAATATTATTGGATGCCGAATTGACTTTAAATAGGTGCCGATTTGACTAGATGCCGATTTGACCAGGTGCCGATTTGACTTTTTCTATGGGTGCCGATTTGACTTGTACCCGTCCAGAGATGAGCAGCATGATATGTGATGAATATGTAAGAAAAATGCGCACAGAAGTCATGACAAAATATTCAGTTTATTAATGGTGGCTATGTCATGTATGTCTGGTAGAAGTATGGTCTGATTTTCGATAGTAAATAGGTGAACTTCATTTTAAACAATGTGTACCAGTGATCTTTTTTTTTTCGCTCTCTCCTGTGAAGTGACAAAAAGTCGCTTGGATTTCCAAGAATAACGATGCTACTGATAACAATTATAGTTCTTTTCATATATTGTATATATATTTATAACTATAATTAAGAATTAATTATTCTTATATTTATAGCTTATTTATTCTTTTAAAAATCAATGACACATGAAAAAATATTTCCAAAAGAAAAGGCCTCTTTCATTTCTTTTATTAAAATGAGTAATTGCTATGTTTCATTATCTCTGCAAACGCCGTATATTTCCGGAAAAAGATGCAATTTTCAATTGTTTATACTATTCAAATAAATATAATTTCCTTTCATTACATTTAAAATTAAAAGTATTCTTTATCACGTTGGTGAGAAGACGTAAAATTAATCATGCATTACAATCCATTAATACCCTTAAAATTGGATACGCAATAATTTGACACGATTGCAAATAAAGCTGTTATTTGGTAATTTATTAAACGAATGAAAAAGAAAGGAATAAATAAAACGCATGTTAATGGCATCGTAAACATTAAGAAACATATATTCCAATTAATTCAATTAATTAGTATATCATTTAAAACCACTTGATTGATTCGTAAAATGAACTTGACCTCCATCAATTATATTATAAAAATGTTAGAATTGGTTGACAACATTTTACAAAAACCTGCCGACTGCACGAGCTAAGATTGGCGGGAAATGATTTAACGGTAAACAGGAGTGATTTAAATGACCAGGGTCAAATGAGTGTAACAATTGATAGAGAAGAATAAATGATAAGGCTCTTACGGGGAAAAAAAAGCAAATATTTTATCAAAGAATTTCATGTATCTCCTCCAATGCCGAAATATTATTTCATGAAAAATACCGTTTGTCAGTTGTTAACTTTCTTTTCATTATTATACAATTCAAATATATATATGATAAAATATATATGTACAATTTCATTTCATTGAGTAACATTTCAACAATTGATTTGGTTGACTGGGGTCAAATTCCAGCAATGATTGACATGAGAAAATAAACGTCGAGGCTCTTACGGGGAACGTGGTATCGGAAGAAAAATAAAAGTTTATTTTTTTAAAATGATTAATTTCTGTTTTTAGTAAATAACAATTGATTTCACTGGATTTGTACATGACTAATATCTAGCATGTTGAAATATTTAGCTAAGTTGAAATACTCAATTTCGATGTTCATAGCTTATAAATAAAAATATTGTGCCATGATTTTTATCCGTAATTTTATCTATTGAAACAGTGAAATATGTTACAGGATTATATCATCCATAAATCTTTAAAATTTACAAGTAAGATTACAAATTTATCAATCACAGCTAAAGATTAATTTACGACCTTCCAGCAAGGTAACACATGTAATATCACTGCAGGGGTTAATTACAGTCAGGCAGATCTAGTCGGACTTCTTGTCCCATAGGGACATTTATAGGAGCAAGACTTAAAATGTACTGTAGAACTATATATATACATTTATAACATGTAGATGAGCTACCATTTTCCATTTAATGAATTAACCACCCTGGTTGGTCATTCAGGGAAATATTTGTCATAGGGCATTGTATAATTTATAACGTGAAGACATTTGCTCTGTAACATTAACATTTTTCTTACCAAAAGAAGGTATTTTCCTATAAGATTACAAAGATATGTGATATGATATGTTGAATATATGTCAATTTTGACATTTTTCTGATGTTACAGTGACATAACATGATAAAAAATTACGTTTTTGCAGACTGGATTTTTAAATTATTTTTACAATTGGAGGAGGAGGGCTAGGCTGTTCCCTTCTTGTGGACCATCACCATTATCACAGAATTATCTTAAAACTTGAACATATACATGTAGGAATAACATGAATAAACAATAAAACATCAGACTAAACATGCTAAATAGAGGCATGGTTATATTATCTTACAGATCTCAAAAAGTGGTAGTTGACATTCACACATCAATAATTATCCTGTATTGTCAGGCCTCCCTCAAGACTCTGTTCTTGGTCCATGTCTTTTCATATTTTACATAAATGACATGCCAGACAACCTCAAAATGTTCGCCTCTTTAACAATATCATCACTTACTGACTGCAACACCCTTCAATCAGACTTTACATAAATTGGAACAGTGGGAGCAAGAAATCATCCACATAACAAGAAAGCAAAAACCTACCATTTTTTAATATACACTACATGATCACATATTAAAATCAATAGACAAAGCAAAATATCTTGGCGTTACCATTACAAATGATCTAACATGCAACTTGCATATAAAGATAACATCACGAATAAAGCAAATGTATCACTAAGATAAATTTATTAAAAGAAATGTAAAAACCAACAGTATAAAAACTGAAGAAATTGCTTACACAACATACAATGACATATGTCAGATCAAAAGTACGATATTGAAGTGTTGCAAGGTAGTCGGTACATGTACATGTATACGCTACCAAAGTAGTGTAACAGCATTTGAACAGCCATGCTTGACCATCTAAGCTGGCCAACCCTATAACAAAGAAGAAATCTTGCATCACAAAATCAAACCAACTAGTTTCCATCTCAAACAAGCTTAGTACCATCAAAAGAATATACATTTGTTTAGTTTTTTTCTCCCACAAATTACTATTTATATTAATTTTTTCTTAGAACATGTAGAACTACAATGTATATCATGTATATTGTTGTGGAATTTGTTACCAAGCCATGCAGGTAGCCAGTAGCCCAGACTTGGATGCATTTAAGTCTGGTGCAAAATCAAAAATATATTGCTAGGAAAAATAAATGTTTTTATCTATAAAAAATGTTTTTTGAAATTGTATTGTCAATATGTTCATATTTTTAATTTACCTACATGGAGATGTGCCTTCTTGCAATCTTCACCCTTTTGAAGTTATGAAGTATTATGAAGATGTCTTTACATGTTAATTGAATATGAATAAGGATGTTGGAGGTGGGGGATGTGGTGGGCGTGCTGGACTGTTGTTAATTCTTCTCTACTGGTGTATATTGAATAACTCATTTATCAGTGATTACAATATACTAACAACATTTTTTTTTTCTTCTCAGGATTTAGATCTGTTTGAAGATTCTGGAAGGGTAAATGTAATAGGCTTTTTTCTCAACAGTTTAACCAGGTAAGTTTATTAAGGAATGTGTGCATTATAAAGGTTTTCTGAGTTATTTCATTTTCCTGAGATAATTGGTACATGTAGATGAAAAAAATGAAGAAATACCTCAGCAGATCTACGACATAAAGAATAGTCATGATAGTACCAAAAATATGAAAAATATGGTTAGCATTAACATGATAAATGAAAGCATTAAGCAAATGTTTATGGGAAAGTCATTTGAGAGAGTGTATATTCACTCAATAAACAAACATCAGAAATAATTACCTTTATTAGAGAACAAAGTCCTTATTACAGTAGAAAAATCACTATAAAATTGATATTCTTGCAAATGCAAAATCTTTCAATTTCATCTTTCTGTTTTTTTTAACGTGTTCAGTAACCAGGTCCTAGTACTTTTATCATCAACTCAGTAGTCAGTACTTCGGTACTGACATGATTTATAACAAACCTTTCTAAAATTGTCCGTTTATAAATTTTGAAATTATAAAGAAACTAAGGTTTCAACTCCTTCAGGCAAAGTTGACCTTAGATGAATTTGGCTATTTTTTAAGGTATTTTTGTCTTATAGCTCTTCAACTGTTTCGGTACTTATACATCCTCGGATTTCAAATGTTTGGCTTTGAGCGTTCCTGATGAAGGTAAATCCAGAAAAGCGCTTCGGACGCATAAAATGATTAAACGTGTTGTTTTCAATATTTTACCAACTCGTACCTAATTTATGATTCATAAAATAGCCTAAGATTTCTCACAATTTGTATAACTAACAGCCTTTTTTACATTAAACCCCTGCCTTATATTATGTTTCTAGTGGCAATAAGTTAAATAGTTAACATTATGAATATATCACATTTAAACTTCACACGTTTTGATAGAAAAACAAAGGATATGGGGTATTTATCCTATAATGACACAAAATCAGTACATGCACAGCACAGCAAAAAACACGCAAAAAGCAAAGGAACAGCGTTTTTATTGCTGTTCTTCATGATCATCTCAAAGTCTCAGTGAGGCCTTCATCATGGACTAGTATGTTTTAATGAGCAAAATGCATTTTATTGAAACCCCTCTTTAGAAAATTTTATGATTGAAAATAGAATTATTTTCCAGTAAAAAAATTTATCAGATCAAATTTAGATTTTTAACATATAAACTAAATAGAATTAAAATTCTGTTTAAAGGGTAAAATATTTTGTCCTCCACATGACGTGATACTGGGGACATAGAAGATTATAAAAATATTGGGCGTCCATCTGTCCTTTCCTCCAGTCTTGTTAGCGCTTTGTAACGTGAACAGTTCTTGCCAGATTTTTATGAAATTTATATCATAGGTTTTATCACCAATGTCTTGGAAATATTCGAAAATCAGTGCCGATTAACTTTTTTTAAAGGAGTTTATATGCCCGTTTGAAATATGAGTTTTATAGAAAATTGTATTGTAAGGGCTCTAAAGTGTACAATTCTTGCCAGACATTTACGAAATTTATATGAAAGGTATATATCAGCAATGTCTCAGACATTTTTAAAAATCAGTGCCATTCAACTATTTTTAAAAGAGACAGCCCCTTGGAAATATTAATTACATTAAAAAACTGGAAAACTGCATTGTGAGAGCTTTCAAGGCTACATGTTCATTTCTAATAGGATTGTTATGAAAGTTATATCAAAGGTTTACATCAGAAATATCTGACTAGTTCGAATATCAGCACTAATCAATTATTTTCACAGGCGTTATGTCTCTTAGAAATATAAATTCTATTGAAAATTTCATTGTTAGCACTCTCAAGTATATACAATTCTTGCCAGATGCAATGTTTTTATGAAAATTATATCAAAGGTTTATATTTTTCGCAATGTGTCAGATTAGTTTGAAAATCAGTTTCGATTAAACTATTTTCATAAGAGTTATCATGGTTATGCCCCTTGGAAAAAAATAATTAAATAGAAAATTGCATTCTAAGCACTCTTGCACCTACATGTATACTTCTGGTAGGATTGTTATGAAATTTATATCATAGTTTTATATAGACAATGTCTTGGGTGAGTTCGAAAGTCAGCTTTGATCTATAGTTTTATAGGATTTATTATCTCTTTTAAATATAAGTTACATGTATATAGGACATTGCATTGTAGGCATTCTCGCACCTTTTTTTCTTGTCAAAACAATTTTTTTTACAGGAGTTATTCCCCTTGGAAATAGAAATATATGAAAAATAACATTGTTAGAGATCTCATCATGCTCATGCCAGAATTTATAAAAAGTTTAAAACATGTAAAAGAACCCTCAATTTTTTTTATTAGTGATTACTTTTTATTCCTGTTTGTTTTATAAATGTACAATATATATTTGATCTTTTTCAGTGCTGCTGGGTTATGGTTTATAGTTAAGAGAACAAAACTGTGTTTAGACTTTGCTTTTACTGTACATTTTGTGCACTTTTGTTGTTGTTGGATTTACAGTGGTCACATTCCTCAAACTTTATCATGGTGGATTATAAATGTTATTGGACTAGCGTTAATGACTGTTTGTGGAGAATTTTTGTGCATGAGAAGTGAAATGAAAGCAATTCCATTAATGGGACCGAAAACGGATTTGTAAATAATTTGAATATTATCATTATTGTATTTATTGCTTTTTATTATATAAAACATTACAAATGTATTTCTTTTTGTTTGAAACAAAATGGTTAATGGAAGATTAAGTTCTTCTTGTTGTACTATTGGTCTTATTAATCTAAATTCTCAAGTGTTATCTTCAATCAGTAACTGTGATCATTCTTTGGTACTACATGATATTTTGTTATTACTGTTTTACTTGTACCTGTGTTTTTCTGAAATGATTTTGATTGTACTTTCTACTATGTACATTTTGTGATTCCAATGGGGACTGAGTGGCCAAGTAGTCTAAGCAGTCCAACTACTGTATCACTAGCCAGTCAACACTGAGGTTGTGAGTTAGAATCCCGCACGGGGCAGGTACACTCTACTACAATCTTAATTGACTAGGTTTGTCAGTTTTCCTACCGAAGGTCGGTGGTTTTCTGTGGGCACTCCGGCTTCCTCCACCAATAAAAACTGACTGCCAGGAAATAGCACAATAGTGTTGAAAGTGGCATTAAACACCAACCATCAATGTTATTCCACTTGTCAGTTTTGAAGGAGGAAGGTGGAGTTATTAAAAAAAAACTAGTTTAATTCGACCACATTGAGAGATTATGGGGGATATTTCTTTAAATGAAAGAGAGTTTGATCTCTCTCAAAGTAACATGTCTTAATGAGGAGATACAGTGCAACTACATGTAATCAGAATCTTTCCTCTAACGGGATATACAATACTGTATTGAAAATACAAATGTGCATGACCAAACAGCAACAACTCTTAAAAGTCAGTGTGCAGTAACTTTTGAATAGAATGGAAATTGAGAATATTCATATGCTTTATATTCATATAGATATAAGAAGATGTGGTATGAGTGCCAATGAGACAACTCTCCATCCAAGTCAAAATTTAAAAAAGTAAACCATTATAGGTCAAAGTACGGTCTTCAACACAGAGCCTTGGCTCACACCGAACAGTAAGCTATAAAGGGCCCCAAAAATTACTAGTGTAAAACCATTCAAACGGGAAAACCAATGGTCTAATCTATATAAAAAACGAGAAACGAGAAACACTTATGAACCACATCAACAAACGACAACTACTGAACATCAGATTCCTGACTTAGGATAGGTGCAAACAAATGCAGCGGGTTTAAACGTTTTAATGGTAGCAAACCTTCACCCTTTTTCTGAAACAATAGTGTAACATCACAACATAGAAAGACACACTATAAAATATCAACTGAAATACCTGTATTCAAATATGAATAATGGTAGATGTTCAAATGATTTATTGGAATGTAATTGCTAAGATTTCTCACTAGGTCTGGTTATAACCCCTCCATTTGTGACTAGAATTTACATTGCTAAATGTTATTCTGTGTAGATAAAAAGGTGGTAAGAATAGACCATTGAAATTTTCAATAACATTGCATAAGTATTCACATACTGTAAATTCAGAAATTATTGCATGCATTTATTATTGCGATTTTGTCATTTTAGACTAAAATGCGAATTTAATTTTTGCGATATTGAGAAAAATCCTGTTTAATTCATATAAAAAAAATTCAAAATGCGAGTTTAAATTATTGAGATTATAACCCTGTCGCATTTTTCGCAATAATAAAAACATCGCAATAATTTCTGAATTTACAGTAGTTGAGTTCAAGCTGAACTAGGTACATGTGTATTTCATCTTTTGTTCTCCTTTAGTAACGTTGAAATTTTACTTTGATTCAATGCTTAGTACCACCATTAAACTATTGGTGCATCAAAATTAGTGCATCTCAGTTCAAGTTAAGTATGAGACCTTGTCCTGTTGTTCATTCTTCAGGTAACTCAACTTAAACTGAAATGCAGAAATCAAAGCAATCAGTGTCCACTTTTTAGCTCACCTGGCTTAATAGGCCATGTTAACTTTTGCCATCACTTTGCATCTGTTATCCTTCAACCATCTTCCTCTGAAACTACTTGGCAAAATATTACCAAACTTTACCTGAATGTTCCTTAGGGTATTTTGTTAAAAGTTGTATCGGGGGATTTGATCCATCAACAAGCATGGCAGCTGGTTCTAAAAACAGAATATAGAAGTAAAATGCAGTTTTTTGGCTTAGATCTCAAAAACTAAAGCAGTTCGAGCTAATCTGAAGGAATTCAAATTATCAGCAGATGAAGGTCTATCTCTTGGAGAATTTTCACAGAAATTAGAAAAAGGAGTTATTGCCCAGGAAATGTAAAATTTAAGGAAATTTCAAAGTTTTTGGCTTATATCTCAAAAATATCAGCAGTTAGAGCAAATCTGACAGTGTAGAATTGATCAGCTTAAAGTCTACATGAATCTCCTGCAGAAATTTCAGAAAAATCTGAAGACATTTTGTAGTTATCGCTCAATTGCTCTTCAACTTTATACTTGTTTGGCTTTCTAACTATTTTGATCTGAGCGTCACTGAATAGTCTTATGTAGACGAAACACGTGTCTGGCGTATCAAATTAGAAGCCTGGTACCTTTGATAACTATTCACCCTGAAATGTCAACATTTTGCAAATTTCACAGTTTTTATAAGACTGCAAAAAAATTTTGCGGTCGTATATTGGTATGACGTTGGCGTCGTTGTCGTCGTCCGAAGACACATTGGTTTTCGCACTCTAACTTTAGTTTAAGTGAATGGATCTCTATGAAATTTTACCATTAGGTTCAATACCACAAAAGGAAGGTTGGGATTGATTTTGGGGGTTATGGTACCAACAGTTAAGGGATTAGGGGCCAAAAAGGGGCCAAAAATAAGCATTTTTGTAACTTCCAGACATAACTTGTGTGTTAGTGTATGGATCTCTCTGACATTGTACCACAAGGTTCCATATCACAAAGGGAATGCTGGGATTAATTTTGGGGGTAATTGCCTCAAAATTTTAGGAATTAGGGGCCAAAAAAGGGGCAAAAAACAAGCATTTTTCTAGTTTCATGACAATAACTTGTGTGTAAGTGTATGGATCTTTCTGAAATTGTATATATCCGTACTACAAGGTTCTATATCACAAAGGGAAAGCTGGAATTGAGTTTGGGGGTAATTGCCCAAAACGTTTAGGAATAAGGGGCCAAAAATAAGCATTTTTCTAGTTTCCAGACAATAACTTGTGTTCAAGTGTATGGATCTCTCTGACATTGTACCACAAGGTTCCATATCACAAAGGGAATGCTGGGATTAATTTTGGGGGTAATTGCCTCAAAATTTTAGGAATTAGGGGCCAAAAAAAGGGGCAAAAAACAAGCATTTTTCTAGTTTCATGACAATAACTTGTGTGTAAGTGTATGGATCTTTCTGAAATTGTATATATCCGTACTTCAAGGTTCTATATCACAAAGGGAAAGCTGGAATTGAGTTTGGGGGTAATTGCCCAAAACGTTTAGGAATAAGGGGCCAAAAATAAGCATTTTTCTAGTTTCCAGACAATAACTTGTGTTCAAGTGTATGGATCTCTCTGAAATTGTACTGCAAGGTACCATACCACAAAGGGAAGGCTGGGATTGATTTTGGGGGTAATTGCCTCAAAATTTTAGGAATAAGGGGCCAAAAAGGGGCAAAAAAATGCATTTTTATAGTTTCAGGACAATAACTTGTGTGTAAGTGTATGGATCTTTATGAAATTGTACTACAAGGTTCCATATCACAAAGGGAATGCTGGGATTGATTTTGGGGGTAATTGCCTCAAAATTTTAGGAATTTGGGGCCAAAAAGGGGCCAAAAAAACAAGCATTTTTCTAGTTTCCAGACAATAACTTGTGTTCAAGTGTATGGATCTCTCTGAAATTGTACTGCAAGGTACCATACCATAAAGGGAAGGCTGGGATTGAGTTTGGGGGTGATGAATCATAAGGGGGTTCAAAAAAGTTTGGGGGGGATTTTCTTTTTCTTTTTTTTTCTCTAAAATTTTCCATTTAAAATTGGTTATTTCTGATTTATATATAAAAGCAAATAATAATGATATGGTTTGAATAGGTAAATTAAATTTTTTTAAAGTTCTTAGACCACATTCATTCTGTGTCAGAAACCTATGCTGTGTCAAATATTTAATCACAATCCAAATTCAGTGCTGTATCAAGCTTGAATGTTGTGTCCATACTTGCCCCAACTGTTCAGGGTTCGACCTCTGCGGTCGTATCAAGCTGCGGCCAGCGGAGCATTTTATTGGTTATTATCTTGAAAACTTAACAGATAGAGAGAAATTTTATACAGTAAATATTACTAAAACAATAAGATCTACAAATAAGTAAATCTGGCAGAAATTGTCAAATGAACTGTTATAGGAGTTATCACTTTAAATGATGATTTTAACCCTTTTTGCAGGAAACAAGAGTTGATAGAGTGAATCATTTTACAGTAAAAATGTTCAACAAAATATGATATACCGGGTATACAAAAAGGTCTACATGAAGAATCATCAATTCATCCCTTCCAATAGTTATTTCCCTTTTAAGACTAATTTTACTCATTTATGCCTTTTTTGTACTCAACTATAATAGATACGGAGAAATTGTAAAATTGCAAAGATGTTAGGCACACTAAGATCTACAAATAAGTCAACATGACTGAAATTGTCAGATGACCGCTTATAGGAGTTATTGCCCTTGAAAGTTGGTTTTATTATCCATTACTTCATTTTTTGCAGAAACCATTATAGTAATAGAGAGAAATTGGAAATAACAAAAATGCGAATAAGTTAACATGACTGAAATTGTCAATTTACTCCTTTTAGGCGTTATTGCCCTTGAATGAGCATGTTTTATCCATTCTATGAATTTTTGCAGGAACAAAGATAGATAGAGACAACAACATATAGCAAAAATTTTAAGCAAAAAAATATCTACATTGTTGAAATTGTCATATGACCCCTGAGAGGAGTTATCACCCTTAGCTTGAAGGACGATTTTTATATTCATCTTTGCTGTTTTTGCACAATCTTTGATAGATATAGAGAAACAGAAAAAAGCAAGAATGATCAGGACAATAAGATCTCAAAATCAGTTAAGGCAGAAATTGTCAACTCCTTATAGAAGTTATTCCCTTGAATGATGATTGTATCCATTTCTTTTGCATTAGATCTAGAGCAACTTTAAAAAGCAAAAAAGATCTACAAGTAAGTCAACATGGCAAAATTGTCACACTAGTTATATGATTTATTGCCATTAAATGTTGGATTTGGTTTTTTTTAACTGTAAACAGTAAAAATTATCATTAATACAAGACAAAATGCCATTAAAAAAGATCTACAAAATAATTGATTGCAATACATGAAAAAAAAATGAATAGCAAAATAGTATATTTTTACCAGGTGAGCAAATCAGTTTCCTTGGAGCATCTTTGTGGTTTTTTTTATCAGTTTCAGAAGTATTAAGGTACCAATTTCCAGATTTTCTCCATATTCATATTGAGAAATATCAATATAAAGCTTTATTTTTGGTGAATAAGTGCAATAAAACAGTTCAAAAAGCTTAATTTATATTGTTTGAAACCAAACGATATTTTACTATATCAATATATGGAAAAAAATCGTGTTTTATTTTTGCAGTATTCATGATCGAAACATGTCAAACTTATCAACTAAAGGTAAAATCTGTGATAAATCCAAGTTTAACATATAGAATGCAAAAGAGCATGCAGTGATCCAGTGGTCCAGTTACGTTTTCCAGTCCAAATCTGTGCATAGCAGATCAACATATCTGTACACTTGAATTTGTTACGAGGAGTTTGTATTTTTGATATATGAATCCATTCTTATGCTCATTCCTTGATTATGTTAATTGACCAGGCTAAGGACTATTAATCAATAAATATATTTATGACAGTTTGTTGATATATTATTTGTTCCAAGAATTGACAAATCATGACATTTACCTCATTTTGATGCTCTTGACTTGTGTTTGGGATTATGTCTCATTATCAGTCACGATATGTGGCAATTTTATTTGATGTTTTCATTTTGTTGCAAGTGTTATGTGCCCTTCTGAAATTTGTCATTTTGCATTTAACTCATTCTCATGCTCCAGTGGTCAGGTCAAGTCCTCAGGATTGGTACGCACTGAAACCCGGACCGGACCGGACTCCGGACCCGGACTTTGGTTTAACTGGCCACCCGCTGATTGATACTTTGTGTAGATAAGATTGAAACAACAGCAGGGGTCCAGTTTAGACTTTGGTATGAAACCCGGACCCGGACCGGACGCCGGACCCGGACTGGATGCCGGACCCGGACTGAAAGATTTTGACCTCTTTAATGATCTTTAATGTAATTAACATTTATTGACGGTCAGGTTAAACAATATAAATAAAGAAGAATAAACTAAATTTGTACCAGAAATGAAATGAATAATATACAATAAATAGATAATTAAGTTTAATCAAAGTTTATGATTTAGAAATGTTTATTTAAATTTCTCCAAGAGTATAATATTTGTGTTTAGTCTAAAATAATCCCTTTTATTATCATTGTTTCCTGTTGTGAAAACTTTAATTTGGGCTGTTGTTACATCACTGTGAAATACATGATTTTTTCAAATTTATTTTAGTCAGTCTTTAAAATTATAAGAAGCCACAATCTTTCACCGGGATTTTTTTTACCCCAAGATGGTACAACGAATAAAATCTTGTGCGACTCCTGATTGGATGAATATAGTGTTGGAATCATTCTAAAATTTTCACTTATTTATTTATCATATATTTATGTCGTCGGAAAAATCAATTAAAGATTAACGATGTAATACACAATCTTGAACAGGTGTACTATACTAGGGATACCTGTGTGTATTGCATTACGATAGCTATTAAACTGTATATAAACTGTTTATTGTCGTAAAGCTTGTTGACGGAAAACTTGATCAAAGGAAAAGTTTGGACTAAAATCTCCATTTATAAAAGATATTTGTCCGAGATTCAACGAAATAATTTACTGTTGGTCATAATAGACGAGTCCGGGTGGTGACCTAAAATGACCCCGGACTAGGTGTATTTGCAAAACTGACAAAATATGCACATCGACAGAGATATAAAACTGCAGACATTATTTGATGAAAAGAGGTTTTTCATGTTAATTCATTTACCCTTTTGCTTATTTGAATGTCATCGGAAAAAATTGACAAAAGACGTTTATAAGAGAAAGAGCAAAATAATACTAGGTGAGTCCGGGCCTTGACTTGAAGTAACCCCGGACTTATATAAACAGCAATAGAGAAATAAACATAATTAATTGCTAGATTGAAAGCTGTGGTTTGTTTTTTTTTCTTCTTCATTTATTGCTGATAATTATATTCATATTTTAATAAGATCGTCATTATGAATTGTGTCTCTCAATTATAAAAAAAAATTATTGTAATAAAGCACTTTGCTCATGATGGTCCCTTTAATTGGAATAAAAAAAGTATGATCTTTTATAAGTAAACACAAACAAACAAAATCATATCCATGCTTTGTAAGAAGGATTTTGACGTGTGGTAAAAAGCCCTCCTGTTCAAACGATGTAACAGAGGTTTTGGTGGTAACTTTAATCAAATTGACTCCTTTAGTTACCCTTTTTTTTATTTCAATCCAAAGGAACGATGGGATACCTTCTTAAAGATCTGTTTTTAGTATCTTTCTTTCGTTTTCGTCTTTTCTTTTTGTTGCATATGTGGGTTCGACGTCACTGTTAATGAATTTGGGAATGTGTAAAGATTACCAGTATCCATCTGAGTCCACATGAGTCCCCAGGGATTCATATTGGGAAGATAGATTTTTCGAGGATGGGGAGATCCTTTTTAACGGAATCCAATATTCTGTTGTTGAAATTTATGTCTCTTTTTGAGAGCTAAAAAAGAACTCAATAAAATGTACGTGTATATATAAACTTATGAACCAAAGCAGTATTTTAGAAATCCTTTTGAATTGAAATTGGGTATAGGAAATCTTGGTTTTCTTTCAATAACCGGCTAAACAAATTATACCATTTATCTGCACACAATGGCACCTTACAACATTTCGAGGGAAAAAAAACTTACATGAACTCTCCAATGTCTACAAATATCACTCTTTTTCGTGAATCTAAACAATCGTAATCTAAAATTTGTAGAGATTTTTTGACGTTTTTGAAAACGAAGATATGCGTGTTGATTTTTCTTGAGAAGGAGGATTGCCGATCAACAAAAAGGAACATGAATGCGCACAGCAGTGTGCACTTATAGAGATGTACATTATGGGATAATTCTGAGTTTTATTGGGAAAGGAAAGGAAACGAAAGAAAAAATAAAGTCACAGAAAAAATAACATATGTGGTATAATTTGACTGAAATGTCACAAAAATGTATAAAATAATAGATTAGTGTGTCTGAGGACACAAATGGCCCCGCTCGAGCTTACTTATAATATGTGAACATACTTCTGGGACGGACGGAAGGACAGACATCAAGGGTACCACTTTATAACCCCTTCTCCTAGTGTCTGCATGGGTATACAAATGTCATCGAATACAGATTTTTTCTGAAATTATCACCAGAAGAACCCTGATTATTATTAAACAATCAAAACTTGGTCATTGTAAGTGTCACGTTTTGCAGTGATTAGTATGTTAGGCTAAGTATCTGGCTTCATTTTACTTTCTACTTTTCCGATCGATTGTCTGAAATCTTGAAAAAAGAAATAAAATCGTAAAATCATTCGAATACACCACTATGTTGATCTTAAAATCTTGTTTAAACTAGTTCAAGACATTATTGTAATATATTCAAACAATGATGAACCCATTCATTGAGCTACTTTCTGTCTGTTTCAATAAAATTTGATGATTTGTGCCTATAAGAAGCTTCTTGACACAAGTATTTACACAAGCATTTATCACAGTCCAATAC